TTAACAGTTGGTGGTTGGTGATATGCTGCTATTTTGGTGTTCCTGGTTTAAGTACGGGTTCATTAAACTTGATTTGGTCACAGTAGGAAAATTCTGCTTTCTGTTAGCCGTGTACTTGGTAGCGTAGTTGACTGCGTCAATGTCAACCCCAGCGCGTGTGTGGCACTTAAAAGCAGGTTAGAATTCAAGAAGGTTGTGGCCAGGCAATACACTCATGTGCATGGAATTCTGATTGATTGACTTTTATTTTTAGACTGCCAATGAACAGGAGGAGGTGGAACAAGGAGAAACTTTTGATGTAATAATAACCAAAATAAAGTCTGCTGGTGGTGAAGATGGAGATGAAGAAATAGGTACTAGATACTTTTATTAATCTACAGATCACCGGGTACTGCCTTATGTGGGATATATAGGTATGTGCTGCCCCAAAGGCTGTGGCTTTTTGGCCATTTTGGTTAGAAATAGGGTAGACTGCTGGCAGTTTGTGTTTCTCTCGAAATTCAGCAGGGGTTATGAGGATGATGCTTAAGCAGAAAGGGGAGTGGGACGAGACATGGGCGCGGCAAGCACCAGAAGGAAAACTGTCTCGCCTTCTTCCCCACTCGACCACCGTTATACTGCCCTTTTGCGTTCACGATGACCAAACACTCCTTAGAGAGAAAACGGGCTGCCAGGAGACTAGAAATAGGGTATCGATTTGGGCAAATAGGGTAAGGCTTTTGCTCTCTAATCTTGAATTGGGTATGTTGTTTAGAAGAAGCTATGCTACCTAATAAAACAGGTTTGAATACATGTAAACAGGGTATTGATTGAAGTGCCAGGTCTGAAATAGGGTATGGAATTTTTGGTCAGGTCATAAACAGGGTAGGGAAAATCTTTTGGTCTTAAATAGGGTAAGGTTTTGGGAAGAGGGCTGCACACCTCCACCTAATTTTCTGGGAGTACCCTTCCAGGCTTACCGTACATGTATACATTGTAAGTAAATTGAACTAAAATTTAAAATCTACTTTAACTATATAAATTATAAACAAATCTCTAAAATAGTCCTCATCCATTTATCATTGTAGTGACAAGGTGATTTAATTTTAAGTTTTACTTGAATTTTAATCTTCTTAGTATAATGATTAAAATTTCGGCCTTCACTTGGAAGTGTCTAATAATCTTGTGTAAAACGTGACAGCCTGAATTCATTTGATCAAGTAACCTAAAGTAACCACTAAGCTATAGGTAACTAACTTAAAGGGAAAGAATGTAACCTTGATAACTAAAATGCATACAGAGGATAAAGTAATGAGTGATATATTATGTACCGTAATGCCAGTTACTCTAGCTTGAATAATTTTGCATAACTTATGACCAGGTTAAAAAATTTGCTGCTGATTTGCTATAACCATAAACGATGATTTTTAGTTGTTTAATTTATTTCTCAACTGTTTGAGTTGACGTGACAACCTCATGTATTTTCAGTTTGCGCGGTTTATGTTCTTTATGAGTGCCATTGTTGTTAATTGATTTTGGTTTCAACTGGAAATCTCCATTATTTGAGTTTATCACTCTTAAAAAAATGTCTACAATACGACATGTGTTTTGTGCTCAGTCAAAGAATGATTTTGGTCATATCTTTATTTAATCAATTTCTTTGTTCTTCTCACTTGTCAGCTCGCTAGTATACTGATATGTTAAGGAGAAATTAGACACTTACCACTGTATTTGTTTGATCATGTCATAAAAACTCATTGTGAATCATGTTTTACACAGACGCAGGGGAAATGGTGGACCATAGTACCCAGACTCCTCGTGACGAAAGAACAGATAAACAGGAAGAACTGGGCGTTGATGGTGAAAAGACCGCTGGATCTGCTGACAGTATACCCGACGAGAGCAAACAGGGTAGAGTACTGTTATTTTGGTTAATGTCAATTGAGCTGAGCTCAGTGAGGTAAATCTCACGTGGGGTCAGGTACTGCATGTCGTACAAAATATAAATAAATGATGAGGGATTGTTGTTGCCTTATGTCCGACAGGGACGGAGAGGGTGAAGAATTAACAACGGTTTAGTGGTTTCAGTGATATGTTTGATGTCATTACGGACTTTTTTTTCGTAAGTGTTGTGGACACATGTACACCTGCTTTGTGTCTTGAACCTAAGTGTATAAACACAGGGAACAGAGGAGTCTTATTTCACCCTATTTCCAGCTAAATTCACGGCCTAAATGCAACGCAAATCGATCTGGGTGATTAAAATCATTGTACTTGATTACGGTATCCAATTAAAGGTACTAAGCGTCATGTAGTTAGTCCTGCCCAATACAGGGGTGGAACCCAGAGGAGAGAAGGCAGTGTCCATGATAACTTACATGCGCATGCTCAAAGCGAGCCAATTTGAATCAGAGTGTTTTGTGAACACACGTGCTATGATTTAAATTTCTCCTGAAATGACGAGTTCAATATGTAGTCCGGATGCCCACGCTGGGAAGTATGGGTTATTGACCAAGTGTGAGGTCAAGATGGCTGGATATTGGTCAAGTTCTTTTTTGCGTGTTTATGGACCTCGACTCCGTTTCGGTCCATAAACTCGCAAAAAAAGAACGAGGCCAATATCCAGCCATCTTGATCGAACAAGCTTGGTCAATAAAGGATTTGTTATATGGCTTTTCGGGAAAATGTTTTGTGGGGGACACGGCGGGTAGTCCCGAGCGGACAAGATAGCTCCATCTTGCCCGCTCGGGTAGCCAATTACAGCGCAGGATTTGATTCATCTTGCCCGCTCACGGAGCTYGCCATATAATAAAGGGGGTTGAAAAATGATTTCGTTTACTCGACGAGCTGGCAGACTTTGACTCACCGAGCAATGTTCTTTAGACCTTAGGGAATAATAATGGGGTGGCACTGGAGCTGGCCTAGTGGGCCATGGTAATTTATACCTATACCTATAGCCATCAACAGATTTTGTCTAATAACACAAAATTTTCACAGGATAGAGTTCATGCCATGGATAACATGATGTTTATAACAAGTCACGTGATCAGATTATGACGTCATGAAATTGACAAAAACGGATAAAGGCAATACGGCCGAGTACATTTTATCTGTTCACGCAATCTTAAACGTTTTTTTGGAGAGGACATTTTACATTTGTTCTTACTGTTTTTGAATAAAGTTCCTTTCACTTGTCAATTAAAAACTATTGAGAAAAAAGCTGCCCGCTCGAGAGTTTCCACTGCCACCCTAGCATTAACTACCAAGGTCCAAAGAACAGTTCTAGTGAAGTTAAAATTTGCCAGCTCTCCAAGCAAACGGGACGGCCGTACTGGGTCACGGGCACCCGGACTAATGTTCGACTACGCGACAATGCACACGACTTTAAAGCAAGAAACATTGTCACAAATTGCGTCCAAATCTGATTGTAATGAAAATGTGCTAAAACTAGGTACGCTGGAAACGTCCGGAACACTCTTGAAAGTTCAACCGTAACCACACGTGACTAATTGACAAGAAAATTTACTGTCGACCGCTTAGTATAGTCTATAGCGCAGTTCACGAGTGAAATATTGGCGAGTGATTTGAACTCTAGCGAGTAAGTAAATACAACATCGTCAATAGCGCGATTTGAAGATGTTGATTAAAGTTACGATTAAAGTTTTGACCATCAGTTTTTAGCAGGTAAAGGATAGATTAAACTTTCGAGGGTTGTTCCGGTGTTCCTGCCTGTTACACATATAGAATATGACGCTCAAAAGGCACATAAAAGTGTCAAATAGTTGCTTGTTAACTAAACGTTTCGGGCTTAGCCCTTCTGCAGTACGTGTTACATAAATAGATGGTCACTAGGCGTGCACGCTTCAAAACGTTCTACCATATATGGTTGCTCTTTTCACTTTTTCGGGGGGTGGGAGGGAGGGGTTGCGGCGTTTTGAACACGTGTAGGCAACTTATCCTAGTCTCTACCTTTTGACGCCTGGGTTCAACCGCAATATCGAGCGGGAAAGGCAGAGTTCAGGGACTGGGCTAACCTTCGCCCTGTAAAGGTTGACGTTCACTCTAACCCCGAGCTCGGTATGAGGAGAGATTTGTTTTTCACTGTTTTGAATGCGCTCAGCATGCGGCGCGGTATTCCCTGCATCAAATGCCGAGTTCTCGTCAACTTCAGTTTCCGTCACCAGTACGTCGAACGTCGTGCCTCGTCCGGTAAGCTTCGTTCCTCAACTCGGGTAACGACTTTTTTAGGCGGCTCATGTTGTGGATAGAATTTTAATAGATACGTAACGTAACATGATCGCATGACACTTTGATTGATCGCGTACAATGATATGAATCAACAAGAAATATTAGCGCTGTAATTGTACGCTGAGCGTGATTTAGCTGGAATTATGCTCAAGTAAGACTGCTGCTGCTGCTGCTTCTTCCTGCGGTATAAAGGGTACAAATGTAACTACTTAGTCCGTTTACGTACATGCGCTATAACCTGCTAAACATCTGTCACATATTGGTGACATGAATGGATGTTAAAGTACTGTGGTTTTTTGTGCATCTGTTCACTGCTTGGATTCTGATTCATGCTTGGTGGTGTGTATTTTTGCTTTCAGATGGTTTTATTCTGCAGTAGTCTAAAACTAGTCTCTTTTTGGCAGATGACGACAGTGGCGAAGCTGAAGAGTCAGGAGCTGACAAATACGATGACGAAGAATTCGAAGAAGGCCCCGAGAATGACAAGGAGAATGACAAGGAGAATGACAAGGAGAATGACAAGGAGAATGACAAGGAGAATGACAAGGAGAATGACAAGGAGAATGACAAGGAGAATGACAAGGAGAATGACAAGGGGAATGACAGGGAGAACGATAGTGAGAGTGAAGCAAAAGAGGACACTGATAAAGAAGGTGACGAGGATAAAAAGGAGGATGAAAAAGATGACGATTACAATGAAGATTTTGAATCTGATGAAGAGAAAGAAAGAGACAAATCAGGTGATGAAGATGGTAAGGAAAGTGAAAAAGAAGAAGATCCTGAAGATGATATTCAAGATGAAACTGAGGACAAAGAAAAGAGTGAGACTGGGGAGGAAGAGCAAGCTGAAGAGGTTGAAGATGAAACAGACAAGGAAAAGCAGGATGTGAGTGTTAATGAATACATTATCATGTCATGGGATTGAAAATCACAGCTGTATCCCAAACTCATTGCGCAATGTGTGCATTGCAGTGTATGTTTGCTAGTTCGCTTATTACTCAAAAAGAAAAACCTTATGTAGACTTGAAATCACCGGGAGTTTTGCGAGTGATATAGATTAGTACAAGCCCTGCGTGGGGGAATATTTCATTCGATAAATTTCTTTTTTGTTACAAAGTAATAACTGGATTATGTATTTATTAAGGTTTGATTTGTGACGAAGAGATGCATGATTAGCATGAAGCTTAACTTGAGATGACAGCTAAGGTTTCGTGCTGGCTTTGTTTGGTTGCATTAAGTACAACTCCTAAGCTCATAAACTTGTTGACACGGGATCGCACACTCCTGTAGACAGAATCTCAATTTTGTTATTTAAAGGATTCACAAAACATGACATTATTTGACTTGGGACAAAAAGAGGTTCATTGTAAGCAGTGATTGGCGATATTTCAATGTTCTTTCAAAACAGTAGTTAAGCACAAGATAATGTCAAAGTTCGTTAAATATCGCGGGGTTCTTTGATAGCAAAAAGCTGGCGCTTATGGGGTTCGTGGTGTATTGAAAAGTTCGTGTATTGGAACTCTGTAATGCTGGCAGGCTTTGTTCGTTATGATCTGTCTGACAAGAAATTGAGGCTCAGCGGACGACAGCTAGAATTTAGTTTTGTCGCTCGAGGTTACATAGCAAGTGATTCTTTCCACCGGAAAAGCTGGGTATTTTTATTGCATTTTGCATTTGTTCTCTTGGAAGTTACATCTGTTTGATGGTTCGGGTGGGACTGGGTCAAAAAAGGACTTTTGTTGGCGAATGCTTGGATAGCTTGAGCATCATTGTGCCAGATACGATTGCTTGTAGGTCAGTTGAAATTGCTGAGGTCGGAAAAAGGCTTTGGTAAACAACGGTTAGTCGTTGATATCTGTCGCAAGGTGTTTGTTTTACATTTGTACACCAGTTTCCAAACCATTTTCTGTATTGTTGCGTTTATTTGCATTAATTAGGTGTTTTGAGTGATCAACACAACTGTTTTTACTATCTGTTATTGATAGAACGCTGCACGACCAACCAGTGCCACGGACTCGGAAGGAAGGCAAAGCAAGAATGTGTCGTTTGATGAGGATGTAACTGTCATTGAAGATGAGCAAGAAGAAGGAGAGAAAGATGAAGAGGAGGTTTAGAGTTTGTTTTCGTATTGTACTGTGACTCATAGCTCCATAGTCATCAATTGCTAGTTTCTCTGAACCTTTTTCAAGTGTGCAGATAATGGAATGGTTACGTCAGACCAGAAACACAACATGTCTGTCTTACGATAGAACTAGTCTGAGAGACAGTAATATCACACTTAACCACATATCGACAAACCCCAAAACCCCAACCAGATTTTATTCCTCCCTTCAGGGGACGGCATAACAAAATACACTGGGAACAAATTATTGTGCAGGTCGTAAATATTAATAATATTGAGATCTTTAATCTTTAATCTTTAATCAGTCGTTATAGAAAAAATCATCAGGGTTTACAAATCCATTACAAGTTCATTTCCTGTATAATTAAAAAATTATGCACTAATAGCAACCTGTTTTCCATGAATGCCGTGTATCTATTTTATAAATTCGAGACTGAGTAAGCGCTTAAATTTTTTGACCGAGTTAGCCTCTGTAAGGCTACAGGGTAGGCTGTTCCAGAGGGTTGCACCAGTCCAATAAGAACTATTTTTGAGGTAGTTAGTTCGTGGAAAGGGAACAACTAGTTTGTTTTCGGAGTTTCTTAAAGAGTAGCGTGTTACATTTCGTGTAGTAAATTCTCCTTGAATTGAAATTTGTAAATTTGCCTTGATAATGAATTGTATTTTTCAGAATCCAGAAGATGTTCCAGAAGAAGTCGCAGAGCAAAACGACCAAGAAGATCGAGGAGTAGATGAAGCTGAACAGGAATCTGAGGACCTCCTTGAACAGGTTCCCTTGGAGTCCCCAAGACAGGATGACAGCAGATATCCAGAGGAGGAGCACAAGCAGGATGATACTCAGGATGATACTCAGGAACGGGACGATACCTTCAGGTCTCCAGAGCTCAGCGACAGCAGCAGTAGCAGCAGTAGCAGCAGCAGCGAAAGCAGCGACAGCGAAGATGAAAGCAAAACAGGTACAAGATCATATTAGGGCACTGTTCAATGTGACGCTTATATTATTCTGCACGTATTAAGAGTGCATCCACGAGAGGACCAGGCAGGGGCGGCACAAGCTATCTCGCCGATTTCGATGAAACTTGGTCAGTTTGAAGGGGTTCACTCAAAACTACTCCAGTCTAAGTTTAAGAAAATTTGGTCAAAAACGGGGGGGAGTTGACCACCCCCCTTGCTTTTTCAACGAAAATGACCAAAAATAACCCCAAAAATGGTAAAAAGTATAAAGCTCTACTGCTATAAGAATTCAACCAAATCTTTTCAAATTTTCAGTGAATGTTGTCCTACCCAAAGACAATCTACTGTCTACGTTTCGTTCTTCTACGACTAGTTCCTAT